TATGTCATTAGATTGTATTCCGAATTCATTGAGTCTTAATAACTATTCTTGAAAATATAACAGTATAACCATCAGTGCCATTTGTTTTTCCAGTAATTAGGCTGAAACTCAATATCTATATGTAATTAACTTTTTTATAGTGCACTGTACATACATTTGGATGATGTTATGATTGGTACGAAATGATTGGCAGAGTTTTGATGTAGTTGCCTAAATGATCATGTTGCTATCGGATAAAATTCTCACAATTTGTTTGTGAACTTTTATGTTAATGCCTTGTGAATGTAGTTAGTTATATCCTGTTCAAATTTGATGTTTGCAGGAAAAACCAAAAACGATGAAGTAGGAAATCCATCAAAAGAAGCCATTTGCGTACGCGCGGGTGCCGTACTAGTGAAGATAAGAAAAAACAATCTATTTTATTATATATATCAAATTAAGGACTCTTGGGTAGTTGATACCCAAAGGGATAAATCTCCATTAATGATTGATAAATAAAATAATTGATAAATCAATATTAAATAATATAAAATTAGAAAAAATGTTACGGACCTGTTACAGAACCATTCTATTGGAGTTTGTAACTGTTAGATCATCATGTAACCAGAGGCGTAGCTAGAAAAAATTTTAACTCGAGGCTGCATATTATTGTAGCTATTATTGGAACCAAGTAGACATGGTCATGGGATAGGTCAGGCCAGCCCGTCGGTTTGGCCCGAACCGACACAAAGCAGCCCGTTGACCATGGGTCTTGAACCATCCCGTGATTTTGACTAGTCCGGTTCATATTCAATATTTTATAGTTTATACATTTCGAACTGGTGGCTCGGTTTCGAACTGGTATCGGAACCGGAGGTTCCGATTTTTTTTTTAAAAAAAAATATTTTTTTTAATTATATTTATTTATTCAATGGAACAGGCTGCCAAGAACCGACAATTCAATGAACCGGCCAGTGCATATGTTCGGGCTTGCGATTTCAACCCGAAACTAGTTTTGCCATGACTAGAACCGAATTATCTATTAACATATTTTGGTTCGAATTGTGAAAACTCTATCTTGACTCGTTTATACATTTAAACAAGTCAAACTCAAATAGCAAATCGAACTTGTGGATCAAACAACTAAAGTCGAACATGTTTGCAATCAACTCTACAAGAGTTTTTTTTTTTTTTTTTTTTCTACGCAATGAGGCTAATTAATTATTGGGGGCGAATTCAACAAAAACTGAACGAAAATGATTAACAAACTTTGCAATGAGACAAGCCCAAAACAGTCCGCAGGAGAAGTGCGCGTCGAGCTTAATTATCCAACTCATTACTTGTCAAATAAGCCAATTAAGAATTTAAAAGTCATTAGAGTGTTGAGTCACATTATAAACTCAATTGATAAAAAAAAAATAATAAGAGCATAATTGTCATTCGACAATAAAAGATTGTCTCATTTCCTCTCACTACTATCATCACTTATCCACCATTGTTGTCAAATGAATAAATTAATCATAAATCTTGAGATATCCCACCCGAAACTAGACGGGGCTAAACAAAAAATTACATAGTGCTATATATAAAATTTTCAAAAATTTAAAGTTAGAATTTTTGTTTTTTTTTTTTTATGGACCTGGGCTGGAGTCCACCCTAGCTCAAGGGTGACTCCGCCCCTGTATGTAACCATCGAGGGTAGTTGATCTAACGGTTACAAATCCCCAAGGAATGCTGACGCGTAACATCTCCCATAGAACTATTTATTTATATTAAAGACTCATGCATGGCACTGTATACTAGTATGATGTCACAGTTTATTCCACCCTAAGTATGTATTCATGAAATTACATGTCGTTTATTCCACCCTAAGTATGTATTCATGAAATTACAAGTACAAAATAAGGAAAGAAAAGAAAACATCATAGAAATGGGAAAATTCATGTGTGTGGTAAAATGGGAGAAAAACAGCACACAATGCCAAAGACAACAATTTTATCTGCTCAAATGTTGAAGAACTTCTTTTTACATGAGCTACTTATCAATCAATTAGGCTCGGTTACTCTCGTAAAATTTGACGATCAATACTGACACATGTTTTATCTGCATGAAATGCGGCTTCCCTGTTTTCCAGCAGCCGCTCGGAAACTTGGCTCGCGAGGTACTGTCAAAGGTCTTGTTGATCTATGAAGTGAAATCATGCATGCATAAAAAAGAAAAGAGTTGGGTTATATTATTATCACTTGGTAATTAATATCCTAATAATGGTGTGATTAATTATAATGTGAAGTAACAATAAAAAAATAACCTTTGTGGTAAAAAGGGCCGGTCGAAAAGAGGCATCAACTGAGCTCTAGGAACCATATCCCTTCTAAGCATTCGAACCTCTTCTTCCTCTATAACCTGCCCGAATTCACGATACCTTTTATAAATCACGATAAATTAACTCGTAGAATTAAGTTATGCACATTTGATTTTCAACTCATAATACCTTCAACACTTTCTGGACCTGTTTCTTGTGTTGTTCCATTATGTACAACTTGACCGCAATCTGTATAAAGTTTTCTCTCAAAAATATATAATAAGTTTAGAAATGAATATGAACGTAAAATAGGCATGTGAAGTGCAATTATACACTAATATAGTGTACACAAACTTGCCGAGGAATTGAATATCGCCCGTTGCGCTGCTCGTTGTTGAGTGTGGAGTCTGAACTCGACTGGCCTAGTGTTTTCTTTTGTCCAAGACTTGTGGAGAACCTATTTAATTTGTATCATAAATCATCAAATAGAAATGAAAAATTAACCATGATGAGCTTGTGGGGATGAAAAAGCCTAATTTTAAGCTAAAAAGAAAGATTAATTTATCCACAACAAACTCACCTTTTGTGCAGATTTCCTGTTTGGGCTCTCCATTATTAATCACTAACTTAACACATGTAATTATGTTGTTTGATGCATGTAATTACTCTGAAAAATTAAGTGTATATAAAGCTAATGTATCATTAAAGTGTTTGGAGATTTGTGTGTTTTCATGGAGAAATAATAATCACTTGCTGTTGCTCAATCACAAAGAACTTTTTTTTGCTATCTTTTACCAAACTTCTGATTAAATCTCCCTCTCAAGCATCATATAACATATATATATGCAGCTTATATTAATATTTGTTTCTTGAAATGTTTTATAGGATATTGAACAGAATTTATATGGTTCTGGTTAGTAAATTTTAGTTTGAGTGACATCACTATACCAATTTTGTACAATTTGAGGTAAGAAAATAGAACAGTTCCAGCAATGATTGATTGATCGGAAAATGATACGATCCCGTTACGGAACCATTCTATCGAGGTTTGTAACCGTTAGATCATCATGTAACCGTCGAGGATAGTTGATCTAACGGTCACAAACCCTGACAGAATGGTTTCGTAACGGAACCGTAACATCTCCATGCTTGATTACTTATAACTATATTATAGTGAAGCCATAATCAATTATGTTTTGTCATTCTAGTTATGTGTTTCTTGTTATAAAGTAGAAGGTAATCCATCCATTTTGGGTTGTTATTGGCATCTTATCATCATATGCATTATAATTTGTAAAATTTAAAGAAAAGAATAATAATTAATTATGTGAAATTGAAGCTAATTGATCAACTGCATGAACTTGAATTATCTTATGAAATTTTGAGATGATGTAGTAATAATTAAAAACAAAAAAAAAAAAGGTTAGGTATAGTAGATCTTGGAGGAACTACATTTATGTTATTATGAAACTTATTTATTGTAATACAAATTATAAATTTTTAGAACAATAATAAAAAAACAACGCTAAATAAAATTATAAATCACTGCTAGGTGTGCAATCCGGGTCGACCAACGGATTAGTCGAGGCATAGCTCCGAATACCGTGGCTGGCTAAAAAAAAAAAATTATGTGATGTTACATATTACTTGACATGATTTGCTATGATGAGAATAATGAGATAACCAAAAGCATTTGGATTTATAAATGAGAGATGACAACGCTTAAGGTTATGTTTGGTTCAAATGACGGGAGGGGAGAGGAGGGATTTTAATAGAAGGGAGGAGAGGGGAGGGAAGGTGATGTAAAATGATTTTACCTTGTTTGGAGGGATTTTGTAGGAGGGGAATGAAGGAAAAATAGTTAACCTTGTTTGGTTAAGAAAATGGAGGGGAAAGAAAATAGTGTTGAAATGGCAGTTATACCCTTAATGATGTAAGAGATGAAAAATTAAAATATTTTACATATGAAGGACAAAAAAATAATTTTACAACTTAAAATTTTTCCTCCCCTCCAAATTCCCCCACTTTTGGAGGGGAGCAAATTTGGGGAAGGGGAGAGATTTTAACTTAAAATTTCCCCTCCCCTTCCCTCCAAATCCCTTGAACCAAACACTATGTAAAAAGAACAAAATAATATTAATATTTATTTTTATATTAATCACTATTTTATTATTTTTATACAAACAATTTATAATTATAGTCCCGTTCATCGCTTTTTTTAGTAACAAACTGATGTACGTTTAAGAAAAAAACATCTATTCTTTTTAGGTTTCTTAACAAAATTTTTGATATCTTGGTTAAATAATTTTAAATCGATTATTTTAGTATCAATTATACAAATAAAATCATGTATATTTCATAAATATGTTTGAAGTAATTCAACTACATTTAGAATTGCAGATCAATTATTTTGGTATTAGTCTTCTTTATCATTAATAGAACCATTGAAAACAAAATAATAAATAATCGCACGGTGGATATTAGAAAGAAAATGAAGGTTTCTTCCATGAAAATTTCATCTATGACCCAGACCTTTCTAGACTCTTCCCTTTCCCCCGAAGACGAGCGCGCTCGCCTTTCTCAGAGTCCCCAAATCACCATCCATGCCCGCCATCACCACCCCTCCTAAAACCCTTCAAATTCGAATACGATAACCCCAGACAACCCAATCAATCACCAAGAATCGAAAAACCCAAATCGTATTTAAAGGAAAAAAAAAATGTTCGGCGTCGTCTTCCCCAACCGCAGCTTCCCTCTGGACATCTCCACCTTCGCCCAGATCGACGCCACCCACTGGCTCCTCGACATGAACCACTTCGTCGGAGAGTCCTACGAATCCATCCGCGAGGTCTGCATCTTCCTCCTCAACGGCTTCAGCCTCCCGCCGGACAAGGCCCTCGCCGTCTACATCCAGTCCCCCGGAAGCGCCTTCCTCTTCTGCGGCGCCGTCACCGTCTCCCGCCCCTCCGCCGTGCTCTCCCTCCCCTGGCCGGATCCGGGTGCCGGGGGCGTCCCCCAGCTCACGGCGGCCGACGCGCCGCCCCTCTCCGCCAAGATCGGCGTGTCGGTGGAGGACCTGGCGTCGCTGCCGTCGCTCGATGTGGCGGCGGAGAGGAGGATCGAGCGGATGGCGCTGAGGGTCGGCGAGAACCTGTTCAACTTCATGCAGTCGTTCTGCGGGGTGGACGGGTCGAAGCTGGTGGTGCCCACCGATATCTTGGACCGGTGGTTCAAGAAGTTTCAGGAGAGGGCCAAGCGTGACCCGGAGTACCTCAAAGGTTTCGCCTTGTAGAAGATAGGAGGTATTTTGATTTGCCTTTTTAAAGTAGTTTGTTTGATTTGAGTAATTTGCTGGATTTTAAGGTTTGAAAACACTGCAATGGAGAAAATCTTGCTTTGTTATGTATCTGTTTTGTGATGAGTCCTTTGCCTAGATTTTCAGTTTCACTTTTGTCTCATAACCTTGGAAAAATGATTGAGGGGATAAAATTGGTTTAGCCACATAAATTCATGCCCTTTACGTAGTTTTTGAGCATGAAGATCATGTGGGATTGACTGGTGTTGTACCCAAATTTCCATTTATAAGCAAAAGTGTTATATTAATCGATCATTTCGGAATTTGAGTAGCTTTATAGTGTAGTGTAAGTAATGTTGTGTAGCTTATGGATAGTGATTGAATTTAGCTGAATAATATAGCCGAAAGAAAATTAGTGTTGTGGTTATGAGCTGGTAATGTTTGTATGTCTTTTATGGATTCATATGGTACACAATTAATACCTGATTATCCTTTTACGTCTTTTACGGCATATGAATCACAATTAATATCCCATAATCCATACCGAGTCCTCCGCTGTGTTCGAGCATTGAGTACGTGATTGCGCTTTTGAATAATCATATTTCATTCTGATCGCACACAAATAATAAGAAATTAACAAATGCTTTCACTTAATTTCAAGCTAACTGGTAGAGATAGAGCTTTCCTTTTCTCATTTATGTAGGGAAAAAAAGGGGTCACGAGGCCATCTGATTTTTTTTAACAATTCAGGCAAGGACATGAAAGGGGTGAAATGTTCCAACAACCTGTGGCAAACTGTTGTGTAAAATTGTTGGAATATCACTTGTGAGTTGTCCTACATTGATGATATAGGGTAAATGAGCCAAGTTTGTAAGTCTAGTGGGCTACTCCTCCAATCACCAATTGGCTTTGGGATGACACCTCATTAAGGTGCATCTAGGCTCACCCTCTTATGGTGCGCTTCACTTGGTGGGAACGCACTCTCTTACCCCCATTCTAATAAATATATTAAAAAAAATTTAGTTATTAAAATAATATTTGGGGGAGCCGGATGCAGGATTTTGGGTTAATCGGGCCGTTCTCTCCAGTTGCTGGGTAAGTTAAACTGTTAAAGGCACCCAGCAGGCTTTATGTTACAAGGCATTTAGGTTGTTAAGGTGTGCTTTAGATATTAAATTTAGTTCTGTAAGTGGGTTCGAAAACCGAAGGATACTTGTTCAGTCTTGGCTTGTTTTGTATTGCCTCATTAACTATTTAACTTACTTGCACTGTTTCGTATTCTCTTTTTTATCATTCCTTGAGAGGTTTAACTAATCTCAATAACACTAAGAGGCTCATTAACCCTCAGGTGGACCTTATTACTTGAGCTAGAATCTTCATTTGCAAGGTGTAACTATATTTTCTGTACTTCAATCTGCTCTTCATTAATTGGAATAATCGCTTTTGATAAGTCTCTTGGGATTATACGGGCAAGTGGATTCACTGAGTAATAATGGAAGTGCTTGTGAAGCCCTTTAGTTACCTTTAATCAAGTTAACAAATAACTAACCATACAACTGCTCTAACCGGATTGTTTCTTATGATCACAACTTAATTTTGGTAGAAAACCTTTTTTTCCCATAACTAATCTGTGTCGGCAAATTTGATCTTACTCCCACGGGCACTTCTCGTATGACGTTTTTAATCATCCGATAATGCAGAGTCACCCATGCAGGTGTGTGTTATCTGACTGGCCCATGTAGCTAGGGTGAGATTCGCCTGTTGCTGAATGAAAGGACTGACTATTCACAAAAATCAGCAGAATTATTACTGTGAATATGCATGCAGATATATCAGTAGATCTAATTGCTGGATTGAATCTACATTTTGTACATAATAAATGAGCATTATTGTTCGTCGTGATCTCAATTGCTAATATACCCTCTTACTACAGAATTATTATTATTTTGATCTGGTCTGGCTAGTGGAGTTGTTGCAGCGCTCTTTGGACTGTGGCTAGGTTCTCGTGGCATCTTGCCGGATTTGTGGTTAAGCTCCATTACAAAATTGATTGTGGTTGTGGGCTCAAACGAGTCGAGCTGGAGCTCGTTCAGTTATCGATCTGAGTTCGGCTTGTGAAGACTCAAAATGAGGATTTTATATGAAATTTTATGTTTGATTCGTTAATATTGATAAACCTCGATTAGTGGCTTGTTTAGTTAATGAGTCAAGCTTGAGTACCATTTACGTTGTGATCGTGGCGATTAAGGATAACTATATTGTGATTGCGGCGAAAGCTGCAAACGAGTCGAGTCGAGCATGAACTTTGTCGAGCTCGAGTTTGAATTTTTTTCTTCATTGTTCGAGCTCGACTCGTGAAACAAATGAAAATGCTCGAGATTGGTTTGATGCTTGAGATCGACTCGAGTTGGGCTGAATTTCAACAAGTATAAATTATGCACCTATGATACTTTTGTGAATTACATATTTACATATATATAAAGTGTAATTAAGTATTTCACCGAATATTTCGAGTTGCTCAACGAGCTCGACCTTTGAAAATTTTGGCTCGAGATGGACTCATGTACTCGAGCCACTTGAGCTCGAATTGAGTTCGGTCAATGAACCACGCAAACTATTTTTTCCATCACAAATTGATAAATTTTAATAGTTTCTTGGTCACATTGCAACTCGAAGAAACTAAGAGCTACAGTTGCCTAGATTCAAATTGAATAGTTTTTCCTATTTATCATCCAAACCAAGAATGCAAACGAGTTGATCGAGCAGAGCAATTTTCTGTTCAAGCAATGCTCAATATATAGATTTTTTTCCTTTTTTTTTTGTTATTGTTGATTGAGCTCAAGATCAACTAGAAAGAAATTTTAATGCTCAGCTCAACTTGATAAAAAACATTAAAATGCTCGAGATCAGTTGAAATACATCTCAACTTTTTTAATAAAATGACCCCAATCACTTGAATTTTCCGGACGACGATACGATGGTTTAGTCATATACATAGGGAGAAATTCTATGGTCACGTTACAGAACAATTCCGTCGGGGTTCGAACCATTAGATCTATCCACGATGGTTACATGATAATTTAACGGTTATAAATCCTGACGGAATGGTTCCGTAAGCATTTCCTATAAATTGGACATAGTTTAAAATGGCGACGCCTCGAGGCGAGGTGACCGAGGCGAGGAAAACTATCGCCTCGTCACTGCCTGAGGCGACCTTGTTCGTGAGGCGCTCGCTTCAGGTCGCCTCGGCTCGCCTTTTCGCGTGGCGAGAGGCGCTTATGAGACGCGCCTCGGCTCCTTTCAGAGAAATTAAAGGCGCTGTCCATTTTTTTTTTTTAAAAAAAAAAGAAAGAAAAGCGTGTGCTACTTTTTGGAAGGGAATAAATTAATGCAGATTGAACTCTTTCTTCACTTCATCTCCGAAATTCACGAAGCAAAAGAACTTCAGTGAATAAGAACTAGGTTTCTGCGAAAGAACTCCTTAGGCTTCTTAGATTTGAAAATTGCAGAAACCCACGGTCGACCCATCCCATTTCCGGGCTCCTCTAAACTCCGGCCACCATCTCACCGCCGCCAAGACGATGGGTGATGCGTGCCTTTTCCTTTCTTCTCTTTTCTCTGTTTTCTCGTTCCCATCGCCTTATTTTTTAACTTTATTTATGTTTATGTCAATAGTCAAAGGTGACAATTTTTTCTCATTTTCTTTTACTTTACACTTTTTATTTACCTTATTACTAGTATTCACAATTAAGTTTTAGATGCTTGTAGTAATTACAACTACATTTAATTTATGTAATATTTTTGGGATATTTAAGATTATTTTGACACTTAGACTTAAATAAATGATATTACTATATATATATATTAAGCTTTGATGGCTTATATTCGGGAGGCCTCGTCATGGCGAGTCGCCTCGCCTCATGGCGAGGCTATGGGCGAATCGCCTCGCCTCGCCATTTAAAACTAGGGTAAAATACTTTTTCCCATCCGAACTATTACGATTTTGGCGCATCACCATATAAACTATTTTTTTTTACAAACCACCATATGAACTATACGGGTTTGTCAATGTTCCCCATAAACCGGATATAAAAGTGGTTTAGAGGGCACATTGACAAACCCGTGATAGTTCATATGGTAGTTTGTAAAAGTATTTAGGGGGCACATTTGGTGACCAAACAGCTTTTTCAGTCAAAACTACTTTTATATCTGGTTTAGGAGGCACATTGACAAATCCGTATAGTCCATATGGTGGTTTGTGAAAAAAAATAGTTTATATGATGATGCGCCAAAACCGTAATAGTTCGGACGGAAAAAAGTATTTTACCCTTAAAACTATGAAATTGGACCCCCAAACACTTTGAATTTTCCAAACAACCAATTCATTTATTCCAGCTGTCGGCTCATATCCATCCACGTGTCCCCTACTTTTACAGATTCATTACTTTTGCATCCCCAAATCAAAACCATCCACCAAACTGTCCAGTCAACACCAAATATCTCAATATTTTCCCCCAAACAAAGAAAAAAAAAAGCAGAGCACGTACGGCGAGTGAGAAAAAAATGGCGGACGGCGATGCTAAGGAGCAGCCTAACGGATCCCTGGACGCGGAGGATGTTGGCGGCGTTGAGGATGGGAAACAGGACCCGACGCTTTTCCCGGTTCTCAACAGTCTGATCGCCGCGGTTTTCTTTCCCGATCCGAATTCGTCGACTCCTTTGCTGCAAAGGATAAAATCTTCGATGTCGGAGAACGTTCATCTGCTTCCCAAGGCCTCGAGGAACACCGGCCGCCGTGTTCTCGACTGGACACGCCGCGGCAGCCCTTTTCGCGCCCTCCTCGTTGTTTCCGTGAGTGTCGCTTTACTCGAAATGGTTAAATTTTACCTTCTGTAATTGTGATTTTTGATATTTTGTTTTTTGGATTCTGTTTTGATTATGCTCGAGATGTTTTGATATTGTGGTTGTGTCCTACTAATTAGGTTTTGAGCTTTTGATATTTAGATTGGAAAAAGAGACTGTGTTTGATAGCTAAACTTTCTACCATCTTCGTATAGCCAAACACTGCGTTTCAAGTTTGCTGTCAGCAAAGCTTTTCGAGAGTGTGTTGTTTGAAATGGTAATATGGTGTTCCATCTGAAGTGTTCTATTGCTATTGGCACCGAAAGGGCTAAGAATTTTGATTTCAGCATGTTTGAAAGAGAACAACTGATGTTTCAGAATTGTACTGGAGTTTTAGACGCTTAGAAAAAAGACAGTTTCTCTGTGCAGCCTACTGTAGTGAATATATCAACATCAGTGATCTGGGCAATTTTAATATCTTGTCGGGTCTGCACAATTCCAATAATGTGATGAAAGCACTTGTAAAGTGTGTTTTCAAAACATTACTATTGGATGTCTCGTTAAGATGGCGTAACTGCCGCATCTGGAAACTGGTTTGAAATTATTTTTTAGTTGCCATGTATAAATGCCAGTTGGGCTGTTGATCAGCAACCATATAAGAGAAGAGGATTCGAAAACAATAAGCAACTGGTTCATACTTAAGAGCATGGCCATACAAGTACATAAGAACTTACATGATTCATCTTAACTTGGTAGCATTTATTCAAGGGCCAGAAGTTTACTAAATTGGAAAGAGTTAACATATATTGTATTTACCTCGTGGGCCTCCTCCCACACCATCGGGGCCCATTAGCAGACACTCTAATGTTATTAGTTATTATGTGGTTGATTATCAGTTTCATTCCAGGGCTTAGTGGAAATTAATGGGTTGCTGAAGATTATTATTTTATGAAATGCTCTCATGTTTTTTTATCTTCGCATAGAGGATTTGCAGAAACAAGCAACGCTGTGGTTTTACTTCTTTTCGTTTTTTATTTGTTTATTTGATTTTTTTTT